TATGGGAAACTTCAGCTAATCGGGAATTTTATGGTAGTATACAGACCAGTTGAACATAAAGAGTCCAGTCAATAAAATACACGATTCATTCTGCTCAGGCGGTGTGAGGTAACATACCCCAGGTTATTATTAACATAATAATAATAACATAACAAGTACCTTCAGGCATGGAGTCTCACTCAGCAGCAACAGGGTGGATTCTGGAAGATCTGACCACAAACTCTCGATTTAGATTCTGGTTTGAAAGCCCACTCTGCCCCACGACTCTGAGGCAGACGGAACCTCTTTCCTTCCGTGTGCATATGGTGTGTGTGTTATCTGTAGCTGGTGTGCGTGTCTACGAGGTGTGGGTGAGTGCCTGCTGCGGCGCTCATGTGGAGGTCAGAGGTCAACCTCAGCCGTCTGTCCATCTGTCCTTGCTTCCCACCCTCTTTGAGACAGGATCTCGCTTCTGTTCCCCACTGCGTGGCAGGCTCACTGGGCCCAGAGCTGGATCTCCTGTCTCTGTCCCTCTCTCTGCGGGAACACTGGCTCTACAGGCCTGCGGTGCCAAGCCCAGCTAAGGTGGGTTAGAGGACTGGAGTTCAGGCCCCCGCGCCTGGGCAGCATGCATTCACGCACCGAGCCACCTCCCCCGCCCCACATTTCACCTGCTCAGGATCATTCTCTTTCCGGGGACAAGTGTCAACCCCTTGTAGAGCATGGCGCACGCTCGGCACTGACACAGGGTAGCTGGTGTTTTTATTAGTTAAAACAAATGTGGGAGGTCACTGCCCTTTCTGTCCCGCATAAAAACAGAGATTCATCATGACTTTAAATTTCTGACAAAGGTTCACATTAGGTAGCTGCAGCTGCTGGTACCAGGTCTGTTTGGTGGCAAAAACCACAGCTTCCCCTGGCTGATCACAATCAGAATTCCTGAAAATAATAAACGTCGATGGTTCAATGGAGTGAAATCCAGATCTGGCAGCTGTTAGACACACCCCCTTCTAAATCAGGACAGCTGCTAAAGTGAGAGGCTGACCCAAGCCCACGAGTGCACAGTAAGAATGTGAAGGGACTTCTGGGCCGGGGAGACGCGTAGGGTCCCTGCATTTCATCTCCTCTCTGAGGAACCACAGCCTGAAAGCACAGCTTGTGCCGATGGAAGTGGACTAGCCAGGGTTTCCAAACCAGCCCGCAGCTTGTTCCCAGGTTCTGCGCAGTGACCTAGAAACTATTTCTGAACTTATTTTTATTCTCTAGGAACCAAAATTTTGGTAAAACAGTTCATACAACTGTAACCTAGAGTCTTTAAATTTAGAAATGAATCCCTGAACATGTGGAATAATGACGGCTGTGTCAGGAATAGCCTCACATTCCAGTTATAGTTGGAAATGGCTCTCGTGCACCACTTTCAAAACGTTTGAAACTTAAAACAGGGCTGTAGACGCTGGCTGCTACTGCTTCCACATCTCCAAACAGCTTAGACACCGGTCTGTGGATACACACTAACTGTTCTGTAGGAACAGTGTTGTGTGTCTCAATGCTTTATTACTGTGTGTGTGGTGTGTGTATGGGCACATGTCACACATGTCTCAATACTTTATTACTGTGTGTGTGGTGTGTGTGTATGGGCACATGTCACAGCATGTCTCAATGCTTTATTACTGTGTGGTGTGTGTATGGGCACACATGTCACAACATGTCTCAATGCTTTATTACTGTGTGTGTGGTGTGTGTATGGGCACATGTCACAGCATGTCTCAATGCTTTATTACTGTGTGGTGTGTGTATGGGCACACATGTCACAACACATGTATGGAAAACAAGACAATCTTTGGAGTGGGTTCTCTCCACTCACCGTTTTACTTTTTGACTTCATTTTTTGTTGTTGTTGTTTGTTTTTTGGGACTGGGTTTCTCTGTGTAGCCCTGGCTGTCCTGGAATTCACTCTGTAGACCAGGGTGGCCTCGAACTCAGAGATCTGCCTGCCTCTGCCTCCCATGTGCTGGGACTAAAGGCGTGTGCCTCGCCCATCCACCTTCATGTGGGTTCCAGGGATCAAACTGTGGTGACCAGGCTTCCACAGCAGTGCTTTTATCCACTCAGCCACCTCACCAGCCCAGGTGTCCTAACGCTTTAAACAGACATAAAAAGATACTGTAAAGGGAAAAAACCAGAAATTTGCTGAAATGTCTGTTTTTTTCTTTCTGGTTTTTTGAGACAAGGTTTCTCTGTGTAGCCCTGGCTGTCCCAGAACTCGCTCTGTAGACCAGGCTGGCCTTGAACTCAGAGATTTGCCTGCCTGTCTTCTGGGCACTGGCATTAAAGGTGTGCACCACCACAATCAGTGAAACATGTCTTATAAAATAGCAATGCACATATTTGTAATAATTCCAGTAAATAATTTTTCTAAAAATTATTTTCAAATGGATCCTTAAACTAATTCAGACATTTTTAAAGTTGCCCAAGTCAAGATAACAGCATTGTGGGGGAAAAAAAATCTTTACAGAGAAAAGGATAAAACAAGAAGAGGTTTTTACAGAGAACAGACGAGGAGCCTGCTGTACACCCGAGTGGCTGGCTGCTCCCTCTCCTCCACTCACCTGGGTCTCTTCAGGAAGGCTGGAAAAGCTGTGGAGGGAACAGGGAAACACAGCGGGAGGGCTCGTGGCCCCTGGAAGGCATCTGCAGGACAATGGTGGTCTGGACAGGGGCTGTGGCTGTATCTGAGTCTGTTTTGATATATGAGTCTCACGATGCCACTTGGGTTGGCCTTGGACTCACGAGCCTCTTGTCTCAGAGTCCTGGGTGCTGGTTTGTTTCCCCTTGGAGGTTACAACCCTTAATGAGAGAAGCTGAGGCAGGAACCCGGAGGCAGGAACTGGAATGGGGGGCCACAGGGGGCTGTTTACTAGCTCGCTCTGACTCACGCCCAGCCAGCTTCTTATTCAGCCTGACCCACCAGCTTAATTAAGGTTTGCAAGAAAATACCCCACTGGGGCTGGAGAGATGGCTCAGTGGTAACAGCACTGGCTGTTTTTTCCAAGGACTCAGGCTCAATTCCCAGCACCTAGATGGTGGCTCACAACTGTCCTCCTGTTCCAGGGAACCCAGTGCCCTCTCCTGGTCTCCATAGGCACCATGTGGTACACTGATGTACATGTATGCAAAACATCTATACACATAAAATAATTTTTTTTTTTTTTTTTTTTGGTTTTTCGAGACAGGGTTTCTCTGGGTAGCTTTGCGCCTCTCCTGGAACTCACTTGGTAGCCCAGGCTGGCCTCGAACTCACAGAGATCCGCCTGGCTCTGCCTCCCGAGTGCTGGGATTAAAGGCGTGCGCCACCACCGCCCGGCTACACATAAAATAATTTTTTAAAAGTAAAATGGAACCACATGGGGTGTAGGTCCAGGAGATCATGCGGGTTCTAGCCCTCACCGCACCAATGATGAGCTCATAAATCTATACGCAGGCTGCTGAGAACACGGTGCTGCATGTCAGCTCATGCGACAGAGGAGGCTCTGTTGGGGACTTCACACGGAAGGAAGTCACAGGAAAGTTTCTTCTGCATGTTACACATGGATGCAACCTGAAAATTCCATCTGCACCCCAGAACCAGCCGGAGGACTCAGCAACAGGAAGGCAGAGCCCAAAGCATAGAGGACCGAAACCAAAGACCTCAGATTATGTCATCCGTGTGTGGGGAGAGGGGAGTACCCAGCTGCTGGCCTTCCAGTGACATGAACTAATCATTTCCTGATCTGTGCTGCCTTCAACTTGGACTTTGGTTCCCACAGCTGAAAGGCCTTTGTCACATCCACAGTCCTCGCCTGTGGCACGTACGTTTTGTCGCTGTCATAAGAGGCCATGACTGAAAGCAACTTCCGGAGGAAAGAGTTTATTTTAGTTTCCGGTTCCAGAGGGAGAGTCCACCGTGGTGGGAGGCGGCATGCGCAGGGCCAGAGCAGGCAGCAGGGATCACATCCTCAGGACTGAACTCAAGTGGCTGTGAGCTCCCAAAGCTCACCCCAGCGGTGTACCAGGGGTTCCGGCTTCCAAAAGCATCATCAGCGGGACACCAAGTGTTCAGTATTTGAACCTGTGGGTACATTTCTCACTCAACCCACCAGAACCAGAATCACAACAGGAGACTGCTGCACCTTGATTTACACACCGTGTGTGTGTGTGTGTGTGTGTGTGTGTGTGTGTGTGTGTGTGTGTATGTACATACACACACATATATAGATAGAGACACACAGCAAGTCACGCTTCCAGCACTTTTGCACAGAGCTCTATACGGTGCATCCTGGACAGAGGGTGAGAAAACAGCCCGGAGCCCTGCGCTCCTGAGGCTCGTGACACAGGAACGGAAAGTACACGGCAACAGCCAAGCCCTGCAGAGCGGACGCACCACGGCGAGCACGGTGAGCCGTGAGAATGGGGAGGCATCCCGGGCAGCTGTGCACCGTCTTCTCGGCACACCACGTGTCAGTCACACCCGCAGCACGTGCAAAGAGATGCACACACAGGACGGAGAGGACACAAGAGGGAGGGACACTCAGGGATGCCTGGGGGAAAGCCAGCAGGCCGCTCTCAACAGAGAGGGTGCCGTGGCCAGAGGCTCCCAGGAAGCAGGTGAAGGACAGAGCCAAGAGAGTAGGCACACAGCCTCCAGCCAGCCACTGCTCTCCACAGGCCAGCAGCGGCCTGGCTTCGATGGGCTGCTTTATCAGCCTTATCGTCTTCTGAGATGGGGACGGGTGGTGTCCCGGAGTGACAAGGGTAAAATGAGACGAGGCATGCTACGTGACCTAACTGGGAGGTGCTCCTTGTGACAGTTATCACCATACGGGACCGTATACACTGTGCACTGATTAGCTCTGCAGCATTTAGAAGACAAAGGTCAAAGTCTGTATCTACACCAGCGCTTAAAACACTCTGCTTCTAAAATAGTTAACTGCAATCCATTACAAAGTCCTGAAATCTGATACACTAAGAAAATGGATGGTGACTAAGGATTTATAAATGCATTTATTGGCATTACTGCATGGAAAGTACAGAGCACACAATGCAAAGGAACCAGAACTGGGCAGGAAGCAGGGATCTTAGATGCAACATATTTACATATTAAATACATTTGGATTTACAGAGAGAAAACTACTGCTAAAGCATTTTGTTCCGAACACACTGAACTGCTTCTGCTCTCCAGGCAGAAGTCTGCTTTCCCTCCATGCATTCCACCAAGCATGATTAAGCAAGAGCGAGACTCTGCAAGCTGACTCTGAAGCAGCCAGTCAGGAGCTGTGAAGCAGTTCCTTCAGCTAGGATGAGGACACATGAAAGAAAAGGGGTCAAAGCCTGGTATCTAAAAGCAGAGGAGACAGTATCAGCAAGCGACAGGCTGGCAGAAGGGCCACTCTACCCAAACAGTCAACTACAAAAAGCAAAACCATTAGCTATTCACTGTGGGTTTCAGATTTCACTCAATGAAAATTAAGCCTCCATACTCCATAATAACATAAAAACATGATTTCTATATTACAGAACCTCAGAGCAAGGGGGCTTCAAACACACGGTTAGTAGCTGCACCCTAGCTTGGGGTCCAGATTCCTATTCACACCACGCCCCTACACTAGCAGACTGACAACGGGACACCAGCACAATATTGTTCACAGCTCTTACTCAGAAATACCCCTCCACCTCCACTGTCGGACACCGGCTGGCCTGACGGTGCTCGCTGGGACCCAGGGTGACCTGTGATGACCACGAGGATGCAGCCGGCCGACGGGGCTGACAGGCAGCAGTGCTGAGGGACAGAGACAGGGAAGGAGAGGACTCTTCTTCTCTAGTGACTCCTCACTCCAAAGGGTTTCCTGATGGTATCTGAATAGGACATCTCAAAAGTAAAAATGGGAGGAGACTGGGGAGTGAGCAGAGTGAACTCTACGAGCTAATTTTCACAGACACTGCAAACGATCAGTTTAGAATGAATCAAAACTGTCCCACAGCAAATGTTAGATCCATCAATCCACGTTAAAGGAAAGACTGCTAATTCTCAAAACCTGTCTGCTGTCTCAAATACTCTTTAAAACTCAAAGTTTCTAACAGTTCTGATTTGCCATTTCGGTTGTGAGAAAAAAAAATTCAAAATTTAAGTTGAAAGTTTCTACTTTCTCCTCTTCCCAGGAAAGTAAATAAAAACAGGACAAGGCTCTTGCAAAAAATGAACAAGAGAGAAAACCAGTCCACTAACAAAATGGAATCATAGGAAAAACTATCTGCTTTCCAGTGGCCACTGCTCCTCCATCAGGGTCGGGTCCCTACTGTGGCCTCCCGAGCCTCTGCCCTGAGTGTCCACTCTGGTGACTACCACATCTGATCACACAATTCTGGTGCACAGCGTTAGGTCCACTCTGGTCACCACCACATCTGATCACACAATTCTGGTGCACAGCGTTAGGTCCACTCTGATCACCACCACATCTGATCACACAATTCTGGTGCACAGCATTAGGCTGCAGTCCAACTGACCACAGGACAAAGTTCAAAGTAGCAATTCATTCTTCTCAAAAGGTCACGGTAAGTAAAAATCCAAAACAAAACACAGCCCTTGCTGCTTTGTGCTAAGAAATAGTCTAAGAACTGAAAACCAATACTGACAGGACCTTGCCTTACCCCGTGAGTCCTCAATGCACCAGCTCGGGCTGGTTGTCCACGAAGGGCAGCACCCCACTCACATAGTAGGCAATGCCCAGAGACAGCAAAGCAATGACCAGGAGCAAGAGCAGGACCCTCCAGAAACCCAGGTCCTCCACGAACTCCTGCCACGTGGTCCGGAAGCTGGACAGGACTCCTTCACCTTGCTGGAGGTTGGGGTTGAGCAGAGAATGGCTTTCCATGGCACTGTGGGAGGAGGAGAGAAAGGGGCATGAAAACACACGTCGTCACCAACAGAGCACCACAGCACGGGGCAGGACAAGCTAAGGGACTGGAGAAGACCAGCCTCCAGTGCAGTGCTGGAGAGCTCACTACAGAGATACACGGGCCCAGGAAGGTGCTGGTTACAAACTCCTGGGAATCCACAAACCGATAAACTGCAATGACTGGGTCCCCGGGTCACTATCCAGCAGGCAAATTAAAATTCCTAGACAGGAAGTCCCAGTGGGTGTCTGGGGGAAGGGGAGTGCACTTTGAGAAGTCCAATGAAGACAAAGAGGCCCAGTGTGACCTGTCTGAAGTTTCCTCTGCCTGAGCTGAAGTCTCTCACACTGAAAGATTACTGAAGTGGAGCTGGGAATGAATATGATCAAGATAGGTTGTAAGCATGTACAACCTTGTCAAAAAATAAAAACATTCTTAAAGTCGCCCTAAGCAGAGATCTTAAAATGGGTCAAATGTCTGTCTCCATCGAGTCATTAACCAAAACCTATTTTGTTTGACATTTGGAAGATTCAAATAGTGGGTTGGGGAGATGGCTCAGCAGATAAGAGCTCTGGCTGCTCCCACAGCACCCACAGGGCCCCTCACGAGCATCTGTAACTCCAGCTCCAGGGGATCTGACGCCCTCTTCTGGCCTCTACAGGTATCAGCCACATACAATACGCATACGTACATGTAAGGAAAAACACTCAAACACATAAAATAAAATTTAAAAATCTAAGATACTCAAAATACAACTTCATAATTTGAGATTTCATATTCATAAAAATAACAAAAAAATCAGATTTAAAAGTTCACTTCAATATAGTAGGTGGGTGTGAAGGTTGGAAGGGAATTTCTCCTAATTTAGTTCAATCGTGTGCCAGTTAAGAATTCTCTGAATAAAATCTAACATGCTGACTTCTCAGCCTGCAGTACATGTGGACTGGTCTTAGGAATTCTTCTCCTCATTATCCTCTGTGCTTTTGCATGTGTGCACACATGCACACACATGATGCCATGTGAAGGTCAGAGGGCAATTTGGGGGATTCAGCTCTCCTTCCGGCTCAGGCTTTCATGGCAAGTGTTTTTCAAGGCTGAGTCATCTTGCTGGCCAGGAACCCTTACCAGCTTCCCCTACTGCTTTACATACTTACTTACAGGGTCTTGCTGGACAGCTCAGCTTGCCTGGGACTCATTTTGTAGCTGAGGCTGGCCTCGAACTCTCGATCGTGCCTCAGCCTCCTGAGTACTGGGAACACAGGTGTGTGTGTCACCACGCCCAGCTTCCTCCTAGTCCCTTTGTCTCTCACATGCTCTAACAGGGACTGAGTTCATTTTTCTTCTGCAGGAAAACTCAGCCACTTTGGAAACACAGTAGTGTAAATAGTCCAAAACAGACTCGAGTGTTCATGGCACTATCACAAGCAGTGTAAACACCACAGAGCAAATGGGAACTCTGCCTTGGGATGTGAAGGCCACCGTGTGGTGGACTGAAAGCTTACAAGGTTACAGCATGCAGCCGAAAGCCAAAAGACCATAATCCTAGAGCAGCTGCCAGCGGGCCGTGAGAACTCACGTTCTTCCCAAACCCTTCCTTCACGTCCGCCCAGGCACCCGCACAGAACAAGAGAACCAGCACAGAGCAGCAAAGCGCAGGGGAACAGTGCAAACAGGGCTTCTTATCGAACACTCTGATTTGACCTCTTCCCACGTAACCCAAGGGCAGGCTCACTGGAGATGAGCGCCAGTCTCCAGCTGCTGACTTCGTAATGGGTCCATGTGCTACACACCCAGATTCCTTTATGTTAAAACTGCATAAAACGAGACACTTGCAGTAAGATCCAACGATATGGAAACCCCAGCAAGTCTATAATAAGAGCCGCACTTTGAGAAGTCCCATGAAAACCAAGAGACTCAGTGTGACCTCTCTGACGTTTCCTCTGCCTGAGCTGAAGTCTCTCACACTAAGATCCCGTGTAAAATGAGAATGCTGTGAGCGTTCTCAGGAGCCCACGGAGCTCTGCCAGTAAGAACAGAGGTTTTATCCAGTACATGTGTGTGTCCCACTGTCCAGGGACCATGAGACTCCAATGGAGAGGAGGAGGGGGGGAGTGTAGGTGCGACTGTAAGTTTCTGTTTTTGAGGTAGGCTCTCACTGGAGCAGCCTCAGACTCACTATGTAGACCAGGTTAGCCTCACCTCGTGGTGACCCTCTTGCCTCTGTCTCCCCAGTGCTGGAATCACGAGTCTGTCTGTGCCACCACGGCTGGCTTCATCTGTTCTTTTTAACATGTCACCTTCACGGCCTTTGTCACGCTGGACCCACATAACAACAATAACACTGAGGGGCTGGCGAGGTGGCTCAGTGGTTAGCACCACAGCTGCTCTTCCTGAGGACCCAGGTTTGATTCCCAGCACCCACATGGCAGCTCACGGCAGCTGTACATTCAGTTTCAAGGGATCTTCTGGCCTCTGCCGGCACTGCACACATGATGTACACACATGCATGCAGACAAAACATTCATACACATAAAATAAAATACTTTTTAAAAGAATAAAACTGAACTTAGAGGAATATACAGAGACGGGGAACTACTCTTCATCAACTTGATCTTTAAGTCCTCCCCCACATTATCCCGTGTCCCCCAGAACCCTCACGGTAAATCTTTGAAGGTGGTCACGGTTAAGCTCTAACGCCACTTCCTGGCTTGTCCCTTTGTATTTTCCCTACACTCTATTGAGTGACAAGGTTTATGCTAAAACTTTCTTCTGTGCATGTCTCACTATGTAGCCCTGGATGATCTGGAACTCACAGAGATCCTCCTGCCTCTGCCCCCAGGGCTGAGACTAAAGACATGTGCCCCAGTGCCCGGCTGAACTCATCTTTTTTTTTTTTTTGTTTTGTTTTGTTTTTCGAGACAGGGTTTCTCTGTGTAGCTTTGCGCCTCTCCTGGAACTCGCTTTGGAGACCAGGCTGGCCTCGAACTCACAGAGATCCGCCTGGCTCTGCCTCCCGAGTGCTGGGATTAAAGGCGTGCGCCACCACCGCCCGGCTTGAACTCATCTTTTAAATGATGAACCCAGGGGTGCTGAGCCTTTCAAAGGTGCAGGCCATCTCTACTATCCGGTTCCCCACATGCATGGATCGCTGCTCGTCTCCAAGTCTACACCCATTAGTCACCCACCCTTTGCTGTCCTCCCAAAGCCCAGGAACCACTAATCGACTTTGTTCCCTGTGACTTTCCCTGTTTGGGGGAAATTATCCTGCACACCAACAGAACAGACAGTGTGAGAACTTTTATTCCTGGCTTCTTCCATAGAGCCCTTTTTAAAAACTATTTATTCTGACTTCAGCATCTGTTAATACTTTATTCATTTTTATGGCACAGTAATATTCCTTTGGATAAACAGGTAACATTTATTCTTTCATTAGTTGATGGGCATTTGGGCTGTACCTAGAAGTGGAATGCTGGGTCACAGGGTAACTCTGTGAACTTTTAATAAGCTGTCAGACTCCTTTCCAAAGTGACCGCACTCTTCGACTCTGCCTTCCGAGGGGTGCACTTCCCCCCAACCCTAGTGACAGCCGACTGCAGCTGTCCTCAGAGTTCAGCACTCCTCCCTGTGGTTTAATTCGTATTTTTATAACGTCATTTTCTAATGGAATTTAATCTCAGCTACTGTGGCACTGAGGGCAGCAGTGTTAATAATTTACACCCAGGAGCTTCAGTGTCCACAGAGCTGTAACTAACACGAATTCCCACGACAGGCATTTGGAAAGCAGGGGTTTACATTTCTCCCAAGCTGCCCAAACAACTAATCACACCTTAGTTAATTAGTAATCACGACAGGCAAAATAAAGCCCAAGTGCACTTCTGATAAAGAGTCCTACTGGCCAGTATCAAAATGAGATCTCCAAACACATCAAGAGAAACATGAGTTCTAGAACATTTTCCCAGTGTAGAAGTGTGGGCTGGAGAAATGGACCACAGTGACGGCACTTGTGTGTAAACCTGAGGATAGGTCTTACATCCCTGTACCCACCGGCCAGGCTGGGCAACCCACACATGCCGTAACCCCGGCTCCAAGGGGGCAGCAGAAGTGGAGAAAACTCAGGCTCCAGGCTCAGGAGAGGCCCTGCCGCAAAGGAATGAGTGGAGAGTGACTGACGGACACCTGAAACCCTCCTCCAGCCTCTCCACTAGTGCACAGCTATGCACACACACTCAGACAGACAGACAGACAGACAGCACAGCCCTGCCCGAGAGCATGCTGGCTCAGCAGCCACCCAGACAGCCGCGTCCTCAGTACCTTTCGCTCTCCGCCGTCTGCATGGTCTCCAGCTTCGAGTGTGCGCCTCTGTTAAATCCCTTCACCTCCTGCTCTTCCAAAGACTCCAGCAATCGGATAACATCCTTGTTCACGCCCCGGCGCTTCGCCAGAACTAAGGGGGTAGCACCCTGATGATTGCTGAAAAGGGTCACAAAAAGAAAGTCACTGCAGTGGCCATGCCACACTGGCTCACACTGGCTCGTTATCAACAAGGAAAGCGTGGGCCCCTGGTTCACAAGCCAAACCCAGAGCAGACCCAAGCAAGCCAGAGACGGATGTTCCAATTACTGGATTTTTCCTTCCAGGAAAGAAAATAAATAAATAAATAAATAAAAGAACATTTAGGAAAAAGAAAGAACAGATGACAGTAAATAAAAGAAAAAAGAGAACATCCTAGGGATGAATTGGAAAGTCTAGTCTAGACTCAGTTTCTGTATGCATTGTGAATATATTCATGTATACGTACACACATGTATGTGCACACACATACACATCTCTGGACTTGGTCTTTGTACACACTGTGAGTGTATTCATGTACATGTACACACATGTATGTGCACACACATGTATCTCTAGACTCAGTCTCTGTACACATTGTGAGTGTATTCATGTACAGGTACACACACATATCTATATACATGTATACATATAGATATAGATGGTTTAAGTGTGAAAAGCTGCCTCGAGCACTGAGCTGACACCAGCATCAGAAGACCAGAACAGACCTCAAATCATGCCAGCTCCTGCCCATTCTGTCTCGCTGTCACAGAAACATTCGCTGTCATGCTGCTCCGGTGGCCACGGCCCCAGTACTCCAGGACAGACAGCAGGAACCCGAAGCTTAACGTCCAGGCTCAGTACCGAGATGCTCTGGCCTTGGGTCCCACAAAACCAAACCCACGGTGCCCTCCAACTGTGCAGCCTGAAGAGCTATGACGAGGCTAGTGAGCTGTTTGAAAGAGGCACAGGAGCTGGGCGAGGAACTCGGGCCAGACCCCAGCCCTGTCCTTTATAAGCTGTGTGACCTCTTGACCTACCTACTTCATGTATAAAATGAGAAAAGGGAGGACTGGAGCGGGGAGCTGAGCTCAATATATAAATACTTGGATGGGAAATCTAAAAAATAATAAATAAAAAATGAAGATAAGAGACTAGAGCGAGGGCTACTTACTGTGAGTTTAGAACAAGCTGATTAAACAGGCTTCTTCCTTCTTCTGTTGAATTAAACTTTACCATTAGTTGACAGAAACCAGCTACTATTCCACACAGAGAGATGTGTACACACACACACACACACACACACACACACACACGCACGCACGCACACACGCACGCATGCACGCACGCACGTACGCACGCACGTACACTCCAGGGCTGGCCTCCTGTTCCCACATTCCCTTAATAAGGCTCCAGTCTTCGAGACCTTTCTGAACTCATCATCACAACTGATCAGATGGTGATCAGACCCCAGCCTGCACGACTAACAACTAACAGGAAGAAATGACCTGGCTTCCAAGGCACAAAGAACTCACCAAATATCAATTTTGAGTCCGTTGGAAACTAAGAACTGGATGGTGTCCACGTGGCCACACAGGTGGAGGGCAGTGTTCCCCTGATAATCCGTGGCCAGTGGATCAGCACCAAATTTATGCAGCAGCTGGCAGATGTCCACGTTCCCCCGGGCCGCGGCGAGGTGAAGGCCTGTCCTGCCCCTGCTGTCTCGGATGTTTGGGTCAAAGCCACTTTCCAACAGCCGCTTGGAGTAGCTGAAGTCTCCATCGATGCAGGCTTGAAGCAAGGGCACATTAGTCTGTGAAGAATCGTTCACAAACACGTAGGACATTGTGGGATGTGGAGGACGGACACTCCTGCAGTGAGAGAGGAGGAGGGTGGCAGCTGGTGAAGGCAAAGACAGCGGCCAGAGAAACACTGATCTTTCTCGGCCTCTTCCTCAAAATCAATCTCCTCACCAAGCAAACAACAATCACAAAATTATCAATTATGGTTCATTTTCCACTAAAAGACTTTATTTTCTTCACATCTGCCAGATCAAAATGGCAATTAAATTACTGTAGAGCTCTCTTTTACTTTTTATCATAGAAAGGTGTTGAAATATTTTTGAAGCTAAAATACAACTGCTTAGATTTAAGTTCATGACAATATCCAAAAACACCCGTGAGCCGTAAGCTCTAGAAGCCGCCATCCCCACAGGCACACACTGCTGCTGGCTTCTCGCCCAACACATGGTGATTCTCCTTTACATGTGTTCTTCTTAAAGGAGACACTACAGAGTCAACGGAAGGGCCTGTGTGCAAGCCCACGCACACTGTGTTTGAGGCACACATTGAAGACTTCCTTGAAAAAGGTAAAGGAATTAACACACTGATTTTAGAAATGTCATTAGACAACAGATTTTTACAGAATTAACCCCCTTCTGCTGCTGTTTTATTGTTACCTCAATATTTGATTGTGCCAAACTCCCCGTATCTAAGGACCAGGCGATGAGGAAGACAGTCCGCCCAAATCCCCCCTCCAGGGGTTCTGCAGCCTGAATCTGCTGGAGGCTAGGCACACAGCGCAGTCTAGCACCCAGTCAGTCCCATTAGTACTCCAGAGAGATGGCACCTGCAAACTCCCGAGCGAGCCTGGCACTGCCCTGCCTCAACCACAGGGACCTCAGCCACATGACAGTCGGCCTCACAGGCTCTGCCTCACTCTTTGCTTCATCTAAGAAGCAAGTCGCCCTAAAGGAACTGCTGAAGAGAAAACAGAAAGGCAAAGACCAGGGCATTTACAGAGAAGGCTCCTTTTAGAAAACATTTACCTATCATGTGTGCAGACCTGTGCACACTGCATGTGTGCAGACCTGTGCACACTGCATGTGTGCATGCCATGATGCGTGTGTGAAGGTCGGAGAGCAGCTTGTGGGAGTCCCAGGCATCGAACTCAGGCCATCAAGCTTGGCTGTAAGCACCTTTATCTTCTGAAGCATCTTGCCAGCCCCTACAGACAGGCAGGCTCGGCTCACACAGTTTCTCAGGTGAAGTCCTTCTGGGACATGAATGGCGCTGGGTACTAGGCCAACCACTGTAAACTCCCGTCCCAAGGTCCGCGAGTGCAGAACCCACGGGCACTGAGTGTGGCAGGGTTCTCAGCTCCCCAGCCTGCGCTGCCTGACTCCAGAGCTCTGCTGCTGCCCTTGGATCTGAGGCAGGTGTCAGCCCATACATCCCGACGATTTGTTCCGAGCAGGCATCAACATGGGGTTGTAGCCATAGCAATATCAAGGTTGTTGTAATAAAATGTAAGCTTTACTATCCCTGAATTTCCATGAGAGCCCCTATAGACTTCAGCCAAGGAGACGGCACGGTCTTACTGGGCCTTCACCCAGGAAAGACCAGAGGCACGCAAGCCATCAGTAGGCCAGTGGACAGGAAGTGACAGAACCTTTACCCACAGCAGTGACAGGAGAGGCGACCTTCTGGAGAGGGACAGAGAACATGACCAAGGTTCAGCAACTGGTAAGGACCCCTCTGGACAGAGGTCAGGATGGAAACACTGACATAACACAGCATCACGATTAGGGGATTGTCTGAGACAGAGTCTCAGGACGTGTGTAGCTCAGGCTGGCCTCACACTCAAACTCTTCCTGCCTGAGCCACCACTGATGGCTTGAAATAACAAATTCTTTTTCTTTTTTTCTTTTTTTAATTTTGGGTTTTTTGAGACCGGGTTTTTCTGTGTAGCCTTGGCTGTCCTGAAACTCCCTCTGTAGACCAGGCTGGCTTTGAACTCACAGAGATCTACCTGCCTCTACCTCCCGAGTGCTTGAATTAAAGGTATGCACCACCACTGCCCAGCTGAAATAATAAATTCTTAAAAATTAATCCCCAGGGTTGGAGAGTTAGCTCAGCTGTTAAGAGCACTGGCTGCTCTTCCAGAGGACCTGGGTTCAATTCCCAGCAACCACATGGTGGCTCACAAGAACCTGTAACTCCAGTGGTGGGGCAGCCAACACCCTCACAGACACATATGCAAGCAAAACACCAAAGCACCTAAAACAAAATAAACAACTCATTAAAAAGAAAGAGCATCTGCTGCTCTTGTGGAAGACCCAGGCTCAGTGCCTGGCACCCGCATGGTGGTTCACAGCCATCCACCCAGCTGCAGGAAATTCAATGCCCTCTTCTGACCTCTGTGGGCATCAGGCACATACTTGGTACACAGACAAACATGGAAATAGAAGAGTCATACACTTAAAATAAATCTAGAAAAAGTTTAAAAACTTAAAAAGGCAGTTTCCACATAGTGGTTGTCTTCTCACTTGTATAAAAAAGTAATTCCATCTTAAGAATTCATTTAACAGTTATCAGTGCTGTGAGAGCATTCTCTAACTTCCCCCCTGCACTATTTACTGATTGGGGCACCAAAACAAACAAAAACCTAACACAAACTACCTTGGAAATAAAAATGCCTATACCAAGTGTTTTCCAAGAGCCAAGACATGTTGGCTACACTCCGTAAGAATGCTCCTTAAAACCTATCTACCTGGTGTTTTGACTCAGGTCTTCTGGTGTGCAGACTGGGAATCTTTCTTATCTGCTGAGGAGAGAAAGGAAGCCGTTCATTTCTGTCCTGGAGGAACTGCTTCACCGCAGCCCCAGTGAAGACTCCCACAGTGCGGGCCACAGTGCAGATCACACGCTGTGAGCTGTGAGGAGTCTGCAGCAGAGCACACCTCAGGTGCGAGGTGAGATAGCTCCTTCGGTGGCCACCCGGAGCTGTACTGAATTCCTAAGGAGGTTCAGCAAAGAAATCAGCAATGACAGGAACTTCACTCACAGCCAAGGTGCGGTGTGAGAAAGGACACTCAGTTAGTTCTGTGACACACAAGTGTGTCAAGGGGCCGTGCACAGTCCCCAGGACGCCTGAGGAGGAACGTGCCAGGCCACCCTCATGACTGCTCGGCACTCAGGGGTGATGTGGAGCTGTGACCACTGACAGGAAATCACAGGCAGGAAAGAGTCACCAGGGGTCATCGACAAGGGACAAACGGGGCTCTGGACGTCACTCTCAGGCTCTGGAACTCTGAATGCATATTCTCCACAATGTAAATGGAGGCTGACCTTTAACTCTGGCTAAGGGCCACAGAATTTGGAAGCAGAGTCTCACACAAGCTAGGCAAGGGGTCACCCTCTGAACTACATCCCCAGCTCCACAGACGCACTCTTGGAAAGAAAATACCGTTCATAAGAGGGAGAAGGATAAACAAACAGCCACAGCTTGTCATTAGACCAAACAAACTGGGTTTAACTCAACATTCTAATCCTTGTCCTTTCTGGTCGGCAGGACCCTCCTGCTGCCAGGTCGTGCTCTTAAACCGTGTTGCCCCCCTCAGGCTTGCCCTGGGCCCACGTGGTGGCCTCTACACTAGTGCACCCTGTCTGACCGCTCAATTCTTTTGAAGAACTGTGAGAGCAGGGTGCTAGGCAGCCAATCTGGATCACAGAAGAGCATCATCAATCAATCAATAAAATTCACTGTGGGCCTAAAATGTGTCTTATTAGCTGGTTTCACGTAAAGTCCAAATCCCAGAGTCACCATTAGCGGAAACTTGCGTTGATCTTTTATTGGTCATGCGAGGCTGCTATCCACTGTCTTTAACAAATATTCACGGAGAAACCACTAATGGTATCTGGCAAGGTTTCACTTACAATGTGCACTTCAGGCTAAAACACGGGGGCTGGCAGTGCTGGACAGGACACTGACGAGCTGATATGAGGACCACAGAGGACCAAGAGACACCCTGAAGACAGGCTAGCACACAGTACCCTCTGTTGCTTCTAGTTTTCTGGGTTCCATATCAATCTGGACAAACTTCCTGTACTGAACCACATAATGCGATGTTCTTGGACAACTATTCTGAGTACCCTCCATCTCTCATCCTGAGTGGCAAAGTGGAATGGTCACCTACTGCCTCTCTAGCATAGACCTGGCTTTAGTTTTCAGTATGAAAAGGTGAGAGGGTGTTTTTAAGTGAATTCACGTTATGAAAGAGCAAGCTGTGCTCCTTCTGTGGGTACAATGACAGACCACACATAGTCACATCCCAAACCCCCTACTGTCCCCTCTGGTCTACAGGAAAAGCCGGGCTGCTGTCCTTCTGACACGCCAGTGCCCAGGCACTAGGTACACTTGTCCAAACTACAGATTGGAGCTATGTGATTCCATGTTTAATGTTACATGAACACATCAGCCTGAAGTACGAGAAAACAGCCGCCCGACAACCTCAAGCTATACATCGATCACTAGAAATCTATTCAGACCTCCCCCAAAGTGAATAAAAACCAGAACACACATTAACTGTCACCCCAGGGGTCCGGACTAAAGATCTTTACAGTTAAATGCATTTGGAGACAACTACAGACCCAACTGTACGATAACACAGGAGGCCTCACGTCTCCTTTCCTGTGTCCCTGATGACAACACCTTACAAACCACAGCAGGAAGGACATCTCATTCAGGATGCAGGAGGACATTACAGTTAGGATGCCGGCACCCACATGGCCAAAACACTGGTGTTCCCAACACTCGGGGCTGGCATGTTGCTCTTGTTTTGTTTATAAGATTTATTTATTTTTATTATGTGTATAACTGTTTCTGCCTGAGTGAGTGCACATGCATGTGCGCGTGTGCACGCATGTGTGTGCGCGTGCGTGTGGTGTGTGTAGGCCCGCATACATGCTTGAGCATCACCTACATGTGTAGTGCCCACAAAGGACAGAAGAGGGCACTGGATCCCCCAAACTGAGTTAGAGATGGTAGTGGGCTGCCACCTGGGTGTTGGTTCTCTGCAGGAGCAGTAAGT